AAAACCAAATACAGATTCGATCAGATTATGGATCTACACCAGCTAAAGCTCTATAGACAACTACTCCTTGGCCGCCTCTTTTGCTTTATCGTAAGATGCATATATATTCTACAAGAACCGTAAAACAAATTAATTATATGATTAATTAATTGTGTTTTGGTGGGGAAAAGTTAAAAACAAAGACTAATTCAAGCAAAAGATTGGATTATACAAAGGAGAGAGAAAGGTACACTAGTTGACTACCATGTCAAGAAAAGTTAGAGAGCAAGCATTGCAAGACCCTCTTAACGGAATTAATGATATTGACTTTAATCATGTTTTAATATATTGTTTACATTGACTTCAACCAAAAAAAAAATTGTAGGTAGGAATAGATGATGATTTTCTTCTTCTTGTTTTCCCCCATGGGATATGATTAATGATTTGCATTGCACGAATAGAAATATATTGCGTAGAAAAATGGGGACATAACATCTTTTCTTATATGTTTAGTCTTGGTAAAAATATTATCTAACCAAAAAAACAAATTATGAGAGGATTTTTCGACTTTTTTGGTGACTAAAAAGGCTTTTAGTCACATTTTTTGCTTTCTTTGGTGACTAAAGCCTTTAGTCACCCCTACAATAGTCCAAATGTCAAATAATGGTGACTATTGCCATTTTTTTTTTAGTGGATATTCTTCTTTAATCTAATCTAAACTACGATGAGGGGGATTCGAACTCGGGTGCAGAGTGAGGAGCACATTCGCTCTAGCCAACTTGACTAAGCCTATGCTTGCATGAGAGGAAATATTACATATTGGCCAATGCTAATAGTATAATGAATATATATCAATGCTAGAATATCATTAAAAAATCACATTTATTGGTAATAATGTGGCAAAAATTATCATACATGGTTGGTCCTTCTAGTATAAAAATTATCAATGGTGATGAGTGATTAATTATTTAAGAGGATTCACTTTGTCCAAAAGAAAAAAAGCCTACCTGGTTATGCTATATGCACAAAGAAGGGTATCTAGCACCATCCACACTTTGATATTGTGCCATTTACACCAACCATTATTCTCATTGGAAGGAGAATTTTGTTTCAATTATGGAAAGAAATGTCATTAATTAATTATAGCTATATTTGTCTGCACTGTTCTGAGGCTAGATGGTGAAAGGACACTAGTCAAGGGTTTGACTAGATCAAACACAACCGAATTGTTCATCAAATTTAAAATCAGATAGTACAGACAATTTTGAAAATAACTTAAATCAGAAAAAGGGATGAAAAAGAAAAGTCGTAACCAAAATCAAATGACTACCATAAAAAGATATAAGCAAATAAGCAGAAAAACTTACTTGTAATCGGGATAACATTGTTTTGCTATCTCGGGTCAATAACACAATGACGGGTAAAAAAGCTATTTCATGTATTATTGTGTTATTGACCGGAATAATACAAAGTGTTATATGCGTTGTGATGTCTCATGCATGATGCATATGCAGAATTTTAAATAATGTAGGTACATATGGAGCTACACCATCTTACTGTTAGTTCATGTTTTTCGATAAGCTTGAGTAAAATAAGAGGTTTTAAAGAAGTGCTGGGCATAAAAAAACTAATTTCATTTTTGTCATTTTCTTGTTTTATTCTTCAATGATTTAGTTTTTGAAATGGGATCTTGCTCGACCAAAGTCTCAATATGCTCTCCCAGCTCATCTCTGGGATTAGAATAATCGAAATGCATGCTTATAATAAAAGAATGAAATTTTAAAAGGACCAAAACCAGAAAAAGTATGAGAAAAGTTTCCATGTTTTGTAATGCACGCAAATGTTATTTGGCACCATCTGATGACTACATTTAGACATGCATGTCATGTATTGATGCAAACTTATTCACATAAGGTGATGATATATATATATATTATTATATCATGTTTGCATTTGCCCATGCGCCAGAAGATTCCATCATTATATATTTCCCCGACAAAATATAGTTATGTAAAGCATGAATTGCATGATGATGCAAAACATGTACACACAAGATAATAATCAGCATTTCAACAAAGAATGTAGCCAAAAATAAATAAAAATTCATTGTCGACATTTATTCCGAATCGCCTCATATAAAACACTGTCACATAAATTGGGATCAATTCGAAAATTTAGGGTTTTGATTTGGTGTTTTTAGGACTACTAGCTACTTGTGAATGATCAATATGCTACAAATGCTTGCACTAAACCAAATTTTAAATGTTCGAATGTCCGAGCTTTTGCAGGCAGTGTTTCATTAGTCATATATCGGTCTAAACCTTAAGTGACATGGGGCATTATAATTTGGATAGCTCAAGTGACAAGGTCCTAGATTTCGAGTCTTGTGCAGTTATAAAATTAGAAACAAAAATTGTGAAATTTTATGGTAACTATATATACATGTACTATATGTATACAAAGGTTATCTATGTAGGACGTAATGTCTTTAAGAAAGACTAGATGCATTGAGAAACCCACGTTTATATTCAAGTCTCTTCACCCTTGATCTCATTTTATATCGAGTGTATTTAGGGTATAGAAGAGTTGTTGAGATTTTCGATTTTAGGGTTATTTGGGATCCGAAACTAGAAATTTTATGCAAACTCTAAATTATGATTCTACACCCTAAAATAATCAACCATGTCAATAAATGAGATCAAAATCAAAGAAAATTAAACAATAAATGAGATCAAAGTTGAAGAAAATTGAGTAAGAGTGAGGTTTCTCAACGTGTCTTGTCTTTAAAAAAAAACAAAAAGTCGTACATATAGAACCGAAAACTGTATTATATTATATATTATATAGTACATTGTATATATGTAATTTGATATTGAGGATTCCATCTTTGATATTGAATAAACTTGGGAACTGAAAGGGAACCTACACCAGCCAGATGAGCACTAAACCATAACCATACAAAATATCACATTCTATATGAGGTGGATATAATCAAATTTTAATAGCTATGTATATAATATCAAATTGAGGTCGGCAAGCTGATATATAGATTTATAATTTTAGTCAGTGGCAGGTGTGTGAGAGATCAAAATTTCCTTTTTTACAAGCCCTAGAGGTAAATCTCTCTTGCTAGTAGTTCTAAGACGTAGCCTTTAATTGCAGTAAAAGTGCAACAAGAAATGACGAGACTGAAAAGAAAGGACCTGTGTTTTGTGTTGTTCTGAGAGTTGAAATAGTAACTTCCTCAATTCACATGCATTTGTTTTGTTTTCTTCTCTTTCTCTATTTTGATTTTTCAACCATCCTTATCTAACTGGCCCATTTGCAAATTAACTTGTAGCGCCATTAATTTACTGAGTTTATTTTCTGTGAGCCTGTAAAACTTTAGGGTATATATTAGTCAGGCCAGTCAGTTTTGTGACACTCAATTGGTTCTCAAGCTTTTATAGTGGTTGAGCACTATAATAAGTGAAGTGTCTCTTTGCTAATTTTATTTATTTATTTAGGACATGTCTTATTGAGAGGAGCGACAGTATACTAAACTCTCACATACTACACATATGTTAGGACTCGAATCCAGAACTTTGCCCGAAGCAGTAAATACTCCAAACTCCACTAGTGAGTTATTTGTCTTTACTAATTAATTTTACTTCTCTATAGCTCTTATATAATTTCTTGGGAAGTTCCGTGAATCAGCCACTTTGTAGGAAAGTGTCAATTTTTTTACTGACTCCCTGCACATGGTTCTGAGGTATGCTATTTATTCATCTATAGGCGGATTGAGGGAGGGAGAGAAGATGAAAGTGAAAAAGGAAACCATTTG